TAGGAACGTGCGGGATGGAAAGCTCCGAACCGCTCCCGGCTGCAGCTTTTCCTTCCTTTTCATTTTCCTTCCTTTTCGCAGTTCCCAGGCTGCCGAGGTGTTGCTCGTTCAGGACTAACCCACACAGATGGACACTTAAGGAAAAAAAAACAAAACAAAACAAAACAAACCGAAACATGTCGCTGCTCCAACAGCCATCTAACTCTGCTGCCGGAGCCCAAGGCAACGCATACATCCATTAACCTCTGCCATTGCCATCTAAGATAGAGTGGACAAAACTACCTAAATGCGAAGGTGCTGCTTGGGCGCTGGGTTTTTTGGTTGAACATACATAGTCATTGCAAAGCAGAATGCCTACTCTCTACAACAGCATAATTAAGCAATACCAGGGCGTTTACCCTTCATGATAACACCCAGGCAATTGCATATGCAAAGAGGGTCCCATCCTGCAAATAACGCCATGCAAGTGGAACAGTGTACAGACATACTGTCCTGGCCGTGTTTTCTGCCTACACGGGCGTTCATCCAAGTCCTGCTGCCGTGAGAGTGGGTCAGTGCTGGGCCTTACACAGCGATCGTGAACTGCAAATGTCATTCATGCCAGCGAGATGAAATAAGCCCTTTCAAGCTGGCAGTGCTGCACTCCTGTCCCACAAAGAACTATTTTCCTCGGGGGAAAAAAGTGTTATTCAAAGTGGCAGACAACTGTCAGAGTTGCTTGTTGCATCCTGGCCCAAAGCAGGGACAGACAGCATTGGAAATCAGCATCTGGTATCAGAGAAGATGAAGTGCAGCAGCATTTATTCTCAAGTTACCTAGCAAAGAACCTGTAGAAAACCTCTGAGCTGTGTACGTAGAACTGTGTAAGTGGTCAGTAGCACATCATTTTGTTAGGCATATACAATAAACCAGCAGTTGCTACCAAAACCTTTATTATAAAGCCTAAAAAATTATCCTTGGATAATTCTATTATAAAAAGTGCCATCACTTTTGCATGCAGTGCTAAACTCTGCTTCTGGGGAAAAAATAAACCAACCCAGGTCTCTGCCAGCAACAGAACAGCTCATTGCCGCTTACATTTCTGACAATAACACATAATACAATCTCCTAGAGCATTCATCTTCTAAAATTCTAACAACTTCAGTTTTGAGACAAATTTGCAGATATCGCTGACGCTTACCAATGGCATGCAGACTGGGAATCACATCACATCTCGTGTAAGCGCTGGGAATTAGAGTCCACTACACTTCTTCATGTCTCAGGGGCATCGTTCACATCCAAACACTTCACTGCCACTTACACTTTTTTCTTGTTTGTGTATTAACTAAATTAGTGGTTTTGGTTTGACTTTCCTAAGGCCTCACCTTGTCTTTTGCGCTCTGATTTCTGCAAATAAAATTTCATGATGTGACCAGCTGGATGGGGAAGCCAGTTAAAAGGAATGTCCATTTTCCTGTTGTTTTCATTCAGAACTATGCCAACACATCAAAACAGGTTCCTGTTATGAAACTGTATGAAAATAATTGAATAATGCTTTTCTTTTTCTGAATCCCAAGCTTTGTCTAGATAATGAAATTACAAGATTTCTGGACCCAGTTAGTATAGGTTAGCAGCAAATGGTGGTTTAAAGTAAGATGATACGAATTACCTGCGATGCTGAGGTTCCTTTGTGGTTGCACTCTCTCCACCTCAGCCCGATGCGGTGCAGAGCTGCAGTTTTCCAACTGAAAGCTTGGCATCTCTGTCAGCTTCAAGGCGGGTTGTGCATTACAGCCTCTGCTCCCGAGGCCATCCAATGGCTCAACCAGCGGCGTTTGTGTTCATGTTAAGGATCAGTAACTGCCACATTGCATACCTCACCCCTAGGGCTATCAGGGTTGTTGCAAGTGTGTACAAGGCATGGTAGATCTCATGGGCAATCTTCAAAAGCTGTGGTCTGCAGAGTGTTTGACCCAGGGCTTTAGGAGATATAAAGAAAAAGGGAAGGGAACCCACAGCTAGCCCTGCACCAAGGAGTTTGAGGAAAAATAAACCAAGATTTTCAGAGCTATCAGCATCATTTCTGCTTCTTTCTTCCAGCCCAAGCCTGGCTGACAAAGCTGCAGTCTGGCTCCATGTTGCACCACCCAAGATGGATGCTCATGGTCCTCACATCCCACTCTCAGAGCTGTTCCTTCCTCCCAAAGCAAAGTCCAACACGCAATAAGATTAAAAACCTCTACTGCTTGTATTACCTTGTTTTATTTTCCCAAAACACAAAATGCATCTTATTAACCTCTTCCTGACCTTCCAGACCCACATCTTTTGTTTGCATCTCTCACCCTTTGCTCAGGCCTGGGATTGGTGACTCAGCACGGCAACATTTGGCCTCAAACAATCCTGCCCATAATAAAAACAACAGTGAAACCAGCCAAACCTAAAACCCTGCTCTCAGATAGTCCCTTTCCCTGGTGTAACTCCAAAACCATTGGAGAGGTGGGTTTTACCCACAGTCCCAGGCAAGTGCAACCTTCCTGAGGAATTTGGAGCCTGCCTTTGTAAAAAAAAATCACTCCAGATTGCAAGTCAAAAGGCCAATAAGCACAGAGTACCATGCTGGCCAGGCTCCAGGACAATAACCTTGTCAATGCACAACCAGCAAACGAATAAAAGGTGTGGGTGTGTAGAAACGAACCCTGCTGACCTGTGTGATGAAATGTTGACTGAAGGATGGCTGCTCTCTGATTATCACCCAAGTAACAGATCAAGGACTGGGCCAGAAGGTTTGGAAGAAGGATCCTAGGAAATGTGGGCACCCTGACCATCTTCAAAGTCAGCTGAGAGAGCTGAATGGTTTCACCATTAAAACATCAAAAAGTGCTTTTTTTTGCTTGTGTTCTGCTTTCTACAACCAAGACTGATAAAGCACTCTAGCTGCACTCTCAGCTAAACATATGGAGGTTTTTGCTCATATTCCCCTTGGAATTTGAAGAGATTTGAGCAAGCTGAAGGAAAATAATCTGAAGAACACTATTAGCTGTTGAATTCATATTGCAAATATAGCAGGCAGAAAGTGTAAGGTTCGGAAGGTGTTTAACGAGATGTCATTGTAAGACTTTCAAGATCAGCCTGGAACAGCTTTGCAATGCACAAAAGAAGATACATACAAGTGTATTTTTGCAGTTTCTGGGTAGGGAAGTGAGTGGGATTACCTGCAGAAAAGTCCATCGTGAGGAGGAGATACTATGTGTAGTACTACGGGTATTAATTTCTAAAAACACCACCTGGGTAATACCATATCAAAGAAGATTTGCTTTAAAGAGTTGTGGTGGTTAGATGATGGGCTAACTGAAAGCTGTCTCCAGAAATTAATGAAGGAAGGAAAGAGTCCAGGCTGAGGTGGTGGAAAGGATCCTGAACCAATAAATACTGCCCTGTTACAGGGCACAGCTGGAGCTCCGACGACTCAGGGAGCTGGAAAACCACTGCCATCTCAGCGCTCCACAGACCACAGAAGTTTTTCCTTTATGTTACTTGTCAGGAGCTTTCTGAATACTGAAAACAGGTTTTAATACCTGAAACACTTTTAGCTTCCAGAAGAGCGGGCATGAGTCAGCGCCAAGTGGTCTTGGAAATCTCAGCCTCAACGTGTTGCTTATGTTTATGACACTCACTGTAAACCTGAGAGCAAGAGCTGTGCTCTGAGCAGAGATGGGAGTCAGGGGCTCCCCTTTCCTATGAGGACCAGATAGTCCTTCTTGCAGGCATGAAGTCAGCAAGCTTCTACAACACACGCTGGGAAAGGGGTTGCAGCGGTTCAAAGGGGGAATGCCCCCTATTCAGCCCCTCAGCATCACAGAGTGTGGATGCTGGGAGCTGAGGCTCCTCTGGATGTTTCTACGCTAGAGAGCAGCTGGAGAAGGATTTCTAGAGCTCTGGATGAGATCCTGGGTACCAATTTCCCACTGAAGCCTTATTAGAAGTCCCAGTTCAGGGACAAATGCCTCTCTCCTGGCATTATTTGCCGACGACCCTTCAAGCACCAACAGGACATGTTGCTGTAATTTAACTAAATTAAATCATACCAAATCTGCTAAATGTGGCTGGTAGAGTTGTATTATATAGGGCAGTCACCATTAAGTAAAATGTACTAAAAATGTGGATAAACCTCCAAAGAGTTGCACCTTGCTGGAATTGCATTGAATATATTTTATTTCTTGCTATGAAGGCTCGCAGGAAGCCAGGGAGGGTCCTGGAAGTGCATGGATCGCAGGACTGGTAAACCTGACAAAGCAGCTACCCTTGCATTTAAGCCTGTAAAATCCTGATATAGCAGCATATCCATTTCAGAGTTTACTTCATAACAAACGGAGAGGGGGGGAAAAATGTTTCAAGTACCGTTTTGCCATGTTTCATTTGATGTCACATTGGTTGTTTAGTTTTTGCCTGCAAGAGACTCCACCTCCTCTAAAAGTTCCCTTACACCCTGTAGAGAATTTATCCCAGTACAGCTCCTGCCTCACACTTAACACTTATACAGGCAAAGAAAACCAAATACCTTCAGTCCTGCTGCAGACTTGGAAAACTGATGCCCTGAAAAAGAAGTATTCCCATTTGGATTGAAGTGTTTTCTGGCTTGATACTTCCATTTATATTTTTTTGGCCCTAAAGAAAGGAAAACATCGCCTGACGCTGACTGGGAAAACACCTTCCTCACCCGCTCTTTTTTTTCTTTCTTTTTTTAGAGGAAAACAAAACTCAAGTTGGGGAGAGTTTCTCTTTATTTTTTTGCTATTCAAGCATAGGTTAAAATGCCAAGCAAGGAGAAGGCCCTCGCTATCGCTCATCTCCTCCTAGAACTGCGTTGCAACACTTGAAAAACAGGATGAGAGGACATGAGACATCTCTTTTTAACGACACTTAGTCGTATGCATGGGGATTTACAAAACCAGCATCTACTGTAAGAAAATGAGCAGATGCCAGAAGATTTTATTTTATGCTTAGCCAAAGAAAAAAAAAACATGAGCAAATTTTCCATTTTAAATGCTAGCAACACTTTGAAGGGCGACACCCTCGAGGACAGCAGCAATTGGACATCAGTAACCCAGTTTACCCAACCGGGATGGCAAATTGCTTTGTGGGCTATCTCCTATTCCTTCATCGTTATCACATCCATCATCGGCAACATCACCGTCATCTGGATTATCCTTGCGCACAGGAGAATGAGGACTGCCACCAATTACTTTATCGTTAATTTGGCTCTTTCAGATTTGCTGATGTCTGCTTTCAATACCATCTTCAATTTTATTTATGCCAGTCACAATGTCTGGTATTTTGGCGAGGAATTCTGCAGGTTTCAGAACTGGTTCCCCATCACCGCAATGTTTGTCAGCATTTACTCCATGACAGCCGTGGCTGCAGAGAGGTAAGAGGCGAATGGAGATAAGGTCTGAAAAAGTCTGTTGTGATAAAAAAAACTATTGCAATACTCTGTACAGTTGTCCCCCACCTACCATGTCAGGTGCCTTATCAGCAAACCGAAAGGAGTGCCAGGCAAGTAGCCTATGGGGTTAGATGCTAGTTATAGCATGAAAGAAAGGCTCCTCTGTCTTACTCTGGTTTAAATCACATCCAAATCTGTACCGAGTGGAAGTGGCTGGTATTTTATTATTCCCATGTTACTGATGATAAATTGTTTCCTGGTCATCCAGCAAATTCTTTTTTTGTGTGTTTTTAAACCAAAAGAAAGACCCAACATTTGGAGAGAGCTGGAGCAATGTGAGCGTGCTGTGGTATGGCGAAAGTATCAGCATCCACAACCCTGCTTGACAGTCCAGCAAACCACCAGAAATAGTGGGGAATGGATCAGAAATGGCAGTCTGCTCCAATAGTTCACAAGAATGACTTATTCCAAGAGGGAGGAAAGTAGTTACAGTGATTTTGTTTGACTTCTGAGGTAATCTGTTATTTTCACAGTATTATCTTACATCTGCCAAGTTGCTTTTACTTGAGCTTAAATTTGTGGAGTCTGAATGTGTTTCCAGTTCATTGTTAAGTAGCGTAACACTGTTTGTCTTTTTACTAGAAAGCAGCCAAAAGTTCATGGGAATTTCCTCACTTAAAGGCAATGACATGTAAAAGAAGTAGAGGAGGTTAAGTTCCCTTCTAGGCTCTCTGCCCTCTTTCCTTCCTGTCTTCCCTCTGTAACTTCCACTCTCTGCCTGGTGCTGGGAACTTCTGGGATCTTTTCCATCCTATGTCCCTACTGCAACCCCACAGCAAAGGTCTTCCCCTGGGTAGTTGGACCCAGCATCCAGAAATACCTGGCAGTCATTTATAAAGCCCTCCAACTAACTTTGCCATTTCCTTCATGTTTCCTCTGCTCCTTATCGATCTCTCGTATCCATGAAGGGCCCTTCCAGCTCCCTCAGGAGTGGGGCCAGCATTCCCCTGGAGCCATCTGAAAAACATTGCTCTGTGAGTCATTGGGGTCACATTTGTAACTCCTGCCCGTGCTTGCAGCTCAGTTCACCCCAGCACACCCAGGGAAGCAAGCGATAGGCAAATCAAACCAGATTTTAAAACTAGCAGGAGAAAGAAGGCTTTGCCCCATGTGCATGTAACACCCGCTGAAACCTGCACTGGAGCTGGGCATGGGGCACAGCGCAGGGCAGTGGCCCTTGTGGTCATTGGAAGGATCACTAACAAGCACAGGGGTGAGCGATGTGTTTATCAGCCTGCAGTTGTCCAGACGAAAGCAAATCCCTATTTAGAAGCAACGACAGCTTGATTTTAGACTTGAATACTCCTTTGCTGTTCCTAGCTGTAAATCAGGGGTTGTCGGTAACTGCTGTTTTATACGTGTGGTCTGCCAAATAATTTATTATTTTTTTTTAATAAATCCATTTCAGCCTGTCCTCATGCCTCCCTACTCTTGTTCCTTGGTGACTTTTAGTGAAAGTACCTGTACAGCCAAAATCTCTTTAGTCATACGGCACAGATCAGAAAGAAAACTTGGCATCTTTTCGCAAACCATATTTAGCTATTCTTTGCTTAGCCTTAAAATAGATTCTGACACTGTCTCCTGGAAACCCATGGCTTCCATTTATTGTTATGAGGACTTGAGTTCACTTGGGCACCGTTGTTTAACTTCGATAAAACAACGTCTTTTGAAGTAGTTTGTTGTAAAGAAGAAGGCTACAAAGTGACAGCTCTATAAGTCATCTTTGCCATGGAAAAGACCCTGGCAATATTGCTCACTGCTGGGTTTAGGACCACTCTGTTTCCCTATTTTGGGCTGCAGTGTGTACTGGAGCAACTATTTCCACTGCATGTTTTCCACAGCGCTCCAGGCAGAAATGTAGAATATCAGCTCACATTTCACGCTGCAGTTAGCAAAGTTCCCTAGGCCTTCTTAAGAAAGCATACAAAGCATCAGAAATTCAGCTTGTTTTGTCTGCATGGGATAAGGACCACAGGAAGGGTGCTGGAAGCATAGTCCCAGCATCCCGGGATGTCACAGAGCACGGAGAGAGGGCACAGGGAACACGAGCAGGGGGGAAAAGGCAGCCCTGCCATGGAGCAAGAGTGGCCAGGAGATCTCAGCAGATCTGGTAAATCTCCCAACTTGCAGGAGCTTGCCCAAAAGTGTGTCTTGCCTCAGGAGTACACCTCTGGCTGAGTAGGAAAGCCTCCACCCAGCAGCCCTGTAAGACCTTCGGTACCTGCAACACAGGCTGCGGCGTCAGGCTGTGCCAGCAGCACAGTGGATGGCACCAGTTATACCCAGGACTTGTCATTCACCAACAGACAAAGAGTATGGATTTGGGCACTTCTGTGAGCAAATATTCTGGATAATATTTGCCAATTTATTCCTCCCTGACCAGATTTAAGCACTGTACAATACTGCTTACAACGAGCTAAAGAAAAGCAAGGTGACATGAAAATTTTATAGCTAAATAAGGCTCCGCTGCCGTGCAGCTCTGGCTTCCTTGCTGTGCTGTCTGTCCATGCAGCTGCCCTCTGTCCTGCAGCAGCAGCTGGGCAAAGCTCCCTCCCAACAGCCTGGCCAAGAGACAGCACAGAGTTTGTCAGCTTTTCTCTACAAAAACCAGGAGGCAATTGGCATTTTCCACTCTAGTTTGCTTTTGTAACAACCGTGACGAAGCGTACTGAAAGCATGACAAGAAATGCATAATTGATTATGTACTCATTACGATACCACGTATTTCTACACGGGGAACTTAAAACCAGAGAGCGCCTCGGGCTTGAGAGTAATCTAATAGTCAGATGTGCCATGAGGGCTCTGAGCAGGTGTGGGACAAAAGGGTCAGCTTTTCCCTTCCAACGCAAGCACAAGTGCTGCAGCATTTACAGGCAGAGGTAGATGGCACAAGAGTTTTCCACAGCTAAAAATTAGTGGGGAAAAATTCAGAGTAAAGGATACTCAAGACTCCAGTCTGCTGTTGTGGTAATACAGGGCATCAGAGGAGATGGACATAATTAGGGGGGAACAGGGTGTTTAAGCTTTTTTTTGGTAGAGGAAAGAGAGAAGTCATGGTATTAAATAGTGCATAACTCCAAACTAGCACAAACAGTTCAGCACAAAATTTCAGACCAAACACATAAAGCACATTAAAAAATAATTAAAAAAAGAAAAAAAGAAAAATTCAAAATAAGGGGAACAGAAAGATCATATGCAGAAGGCACAGATGACTGCTTCCTCCTCACATCAGAAGCATCCATCCACATAGGTTTAATATATTCTGCCTTAAGTCTTGCAATCATTCTCTTTAGAAAGGATTTAGCTCCATCCAATTATTTATAGCTTGGAACCTGTCAAAATGTCTCTATAAATAAAGCTCACCACACTGTCTGGTGAGCCTTTACACTTGCTATGTCTGTTGTATAGTTTACCAACGCAACTATAAAAGCATTACCTGTTTTTCTGGCAGGTACATGGCAATAATTCATCCCTTCAAGCCCAGGCTGTCTGCTGGAAGCACCAGAGTCATCATAGGGATAATCTGGCTGGTGGCTTTTGGGCTTGCCTTCCCCCAGTGCTTTTACGCCGAGATCACGTTGGACAATGGAACCACAAAATGCATCGTCGTCTGGCCCGATGATGTCGGATCCAAGCACCAGCTCACGTAAGAGAAACAAAAAACTCCTCATTCATGCAAAAGTTAACTATGAAATTAATTTAATCTCCAAACCATTGGCTACAGGCAGTACTGGGAGAAAGGGCAGGGGGAACCATGCAGCAGGGGAATATTGGTCTGGGGCAGCCCATCAAAGCCCAGTTTAAGCCAGCTGTGGAAAAAGCTGCCAGGTGATCATGCTCAGGGTAAAGAAGGGTGATTCACCATCGTTCCCTGCTTCAAAAATTGGTTATAAGATCTAGAAACCTTAGATACAGTGCTCAGTGGATTTAAGAGAAACCAGTGCAAAAAGTCTCTAAACAAGCAATAAATCCTTGTTCCAAAGATTTTAGATTTTCTTTATCTTTAGGCAGGAAGAAACTGTACATTTAATACTGAGAGGGCATATAATTAGCTAAAAATTATGCTGCTTTTTGTGGGGGAAGGGAAAAAAAAAAGAAGAAGAAGTCAGTTTTATAGACTGACTTATCTGGGCACACATCTGTGCTCCTAAAAGCTCCTAACGCTCACAGCAACTTCCTCCTGCTTTAAAGCAACGTTGTTCAGACAGATGAAACAAGCCATACCCTGCATTTAGGGAATCTGTTGTGATTAATCATTATTCAAAACACATGGTACAGAGAGCAGTTCAAGAAATTTATCAAGCAAAACATATTTATACAAAGTAGTAATGGAAGAACTGCGGAAAAGGAACAAATCGATTAACAAAATGGAAACAATTTTTCAAACCAAAACCAAGTGCTAAACTCTCCACATCCATTTTTCACTATGAATGCTTTTGTCCGGCTCCATTTTTCCCTTCTTGGTCTTCATCTCTGGCAGACAGCTGGATGCCTCCTACGATTAGTTATTACCAAACTGGTTTTTCACACTAACATATGCCAAGTTCCAGGAGCTTCGTGAAAAGTTTGGCTGAGCTGCAGCACGTTCAGCCACTGGCGATCAGTTGTCACCAGTCTACAGAGTCACAGAAGAGTAAGATTAGGCTCTCAACACGTTGGGTGACTTTCCTCCTAGGGCACCTTGTCTGGTACCCCGTGGCACAGGAACATGGCTGGGGAACACAGTGTGCCAACCTCCTGTCGACTGAGGAGGAGGATGGTAGATAATCACTTGTATAAAAGTAACTGATTACTGTTTCGTTCAGATGAAAAGCATGGGGTTTATTTCTCCCGCATCTACAGTTTGGGAAGGACTGATAGAAGAGTTTCCCAACATGCCAACAAAATCTCTGTGGGCTGGAAAGGCTGATCCTGAACACAGCAAATAACAGGGCAGGGTCTCCCTGGGATCCCCTGCTGAAAAGCAGCAGCTCCTGAACACGGAATATCACTTCATTCACCAGCTCGCTCTCCCTGAGCAGCCTCAGATTTGCAGGTTTCAGTAGCTCTGATAGAACGGAAGTTGGAAGCAGCGCTCCCCAGAAATAATTTTGAGTGATGGATCTGTCAGGGCAAATGCCTGCAATACAGACCAGGGAGAAAAGGCCATGTGCAGTCGTTCATGTGCTGGTCCAAATACCAAGGAAAATCAATACTAAGAAACCCAAAGGAAAAAAGAAAACCCACAAAGAAATGGAGAACCTGGTTCCTCTGTTGACTGTAGGTCGTCCAAACTCTTCTTAGTTGATTAAAACCAGCTTTCAAGATTTCTTGATTTCAGAACAAAGAAAAAGCCTTTTTTGCAGGAAAAATGTTGATAATTATGATAGAAACAAGTCAAAAAAACCCCAAACAATGCAGTACTGTGACTACCAGTGTCTGAGAAATATTGGATAAAAATGGACTAAATTTGTAGAAGTTTAACCAAAATAAAGAAACTTAACTACAGAGGATTTTTTTCTGGTGACAGGTTAACTTTGCAGCAAATTAGCAAAACTACAAGACTAAAAGTTTTATCTTGCCATGTCACACAGAATCACAGAATCTTAGGAGTTGGAAGGGACCTTGAAAGCTCATCCAGTCCAACCCCTGCCAGAGCAGGATCACCCAGACCAGGTCACACAGGAACACGGCCAGACGGGTTTTGAATGTCTGCAGAGAAGGAGACTCCACAACCTCTCTGGGCAGCCTGGGCCATGCTCTGTTACCCTCACAGTAAATAAGTTTTTCCTCATATTCAGATTGAACCTCCTATGCTCCAGCTTGCACCCATTGCCCCTTGTCCTGTCATTGGCTGTCACTGAGAAGAGCCTGGCTCCTTCCTCCTGACACTCACCCTTTACAAATTTATAAACATGAATGAGGTCACCCCTCAGTCTCCTCTTCTGCAAACTAAAGAGACCCAGCTCCCTCAGCCGCTCCTCATAAGGGAGATGCTCCACTCCCTCCATCATCTTTGTGGCTCTGCACTGGACTCTTTCAAGAAATTCCTGTCCTTCTTGAACTGAGGGGCCCAGAACTGAACACAATATTCCAGATGTCGTCTCACCAGCGCAGAGTAGATGGGAAGGAGAACCTCTCTGACCTACTCACCACCCCTTCTGATACACCCCAGGAGGCCATTGGCCTTCTTGGCTCAAGGGCACGTGCACAAGCTTAGGCTCCCACCCTTTCCTCCTCCTCCCAGGATGGGAACTCTAAAAGCATTTCCGCTGTGCTCCATACATGGTATTAGGCCTTCGAAAGGACCACTCCGAGGAGACTTGGGAAGGGTGGAAAGCTGGCAGTGTTAACTTGCCACATTTCACAAATACTGTATTTTTCTATATGAAGCCACTGCTCTGACATATCACAGAATCACAGAATTGCTCGGTTGGAAAAGACCTCTGAGATCATCACGTCCAACCGTTCCTGTCTACCCCCTAAACCATATCCTTAAGTACCTCATCTACCCGCTCTTTAAACACATCCAGGGATGGTGACTCCACCACCTCCCTGGGCAGCCTGTTCCAGCTTCTGACGACCCTCTCAGTACAGAACTTCCTCCTTATCTCTAACCTGAACCTCCCTTGGCACAGCTTGGTGCCGTTTCCCCTTGTTCTATCCCCATCACCTGGGAGAAGAGACCAGCACCCACCTCTCCACAACCTCCCTTGAGGTAGTTGTAGGTGGTGATGAGGTCTCCCCTCAGCCTTCTCTTCTCCAGGCTAAACAAGCCCAGTTCCCTCAGCCGCTCCTCATCAGGCTTGTTCTCCAGAGCCCTCCCCATCCTTGTGGCTCTTCTCTGAACACGCTCCAGAATCTCAACATCCTTCTTATAGTGAGGGGCCCAGAACTGAACACAGTACTCGAGGTGCGGCCTCACCAGTGCCGAGTACAGGAGGATGCAACCACCCTAAAGAGCAAACATCACCGAGCGCCCCAAGACCCATTTCAACAGTGCTCTGCAAAGCAGTTGACCCCACTCCCTAAAGCACTGAGTAACTCCAGAATGTTGTCACGCTGAGAAGGGCCACACACACCCAGCCTTTTGCGGTCATCGCCAGCAGCGTGTGCCAGAGCCCTCCTGCCTAAGCCTAGGTTTTACAGTGTTTATGTTAATTTGACAACGGCTCTAACCAAGTGAGCAGGTTGTTCCCTCCCCATAAATGGTGGTTGCTTAAAATAATCAAACTCCAGCAATAAGGGAACCAGCAGAAGCAGAAGCTTGTGGGGTAAATGGAAAGCTAGGAAGGGCCGAGCTAAAATACAGCTGAAGGAAATGCCAGCGCTTTCAGCTAGAGCAGTAACCAAGTAGCCTGTTGGTGATATGATATGATATGATATGATGCATGCAGTCACAAGTAAAAACAGCCAGCAACACAAATACAGCAATGACTGACACTTTCTGCATGTTGTAAGCAGGCAAGATCCTTTCCTTGCTATTTGCAGTCTTCTCTGCCAAGTTTGTGCATGCTGTTAGTAGCCAGCTACATTTTGAAGTCCCTGATACAGGGTTTTTTTCCACTGTTGATGAATTAAGCTTTTGACACTATTGCATTCATCAAATTACTCTGCAGTTTTTGAAATATTCCTTTTCCGTATCTGTGATATAAAGGTTCATATTTTTACAACCACAAGTCTTATCTATCTCTCTTTCCTGACTGCAGTGGGACAGCAAAGTTCAGGGCAGGTGGCCATGGACTGTAACCCTCTGATAAAAGATAAATGATGTTACTCCATCTTGAAAGAGCAGTCAATCCAGTCCAAAGACTAATCATCACAAGAGAGATGAGCTTTTGCTGTTTACAGAAGTTCCTGTAATGATGTTTGTAGGCAAAATTTCTCCTTCTTGATGCTTTGGGGTTGAAGTTAATTGAAGCCAGACATACATGCCTAAAAGGCAATTTCTGAAAGAGCTCCTCAAGAGACATACTGAATGTGAAAATGTGCTTATTCTTCTCTTTCAGGTATCACATTGCCGTGATCGTGTTGATTTATTTACTGCCTCTAATGGTGATGTTTGTTGCATATAGCATTATAGGAATTACTCTGTGGAGCAGTGCGGTTCCAGGCAACCACCTTAACAGAGTCCGCTACGAACACCAAGTTAACGCCAAAAAAAAGGTCAGAAGTGAAACTTAAAAATACTTACCCTCAGCGCACCAGCTCTGCCAGCTCCAATTCCAAAATGGAGCTTGCATTTGATACAAAATCTTGTGGGACTGGGCATGAAAGGTTGATAAAATATTTTGGGCCAGGATAAAGGGCATCACCCAGCAAGTATTTTAAAAAATGGTGATCTACATGCAGCAGCCGGCCTTCTGCAAAGAAGAAAGGCTCACACCGGTAGGCAGTGGGCCAGTTCCCATCAGTCCTTAGAGAGTAAAACCTGGTGTCCAGTGAATCTGCACATCACAGGATAAACCAGGCCCAGGAATAAGACACTGGTTTTGTTCTTCTAGTTTGTGAAGACCATGGTGGTAGTCGTGATCATTTTTGCTGTCTGCTGGCTGCCCTATCACATATACTTCATCCTGGGGAGCTTCAAGGAAGACATCTATCAGCAGAAGTACATTCAGCAGGTTTATCTCGCAATCTTTCTGCTTGCCATGAGTTCGACGATGTACAACCCCATCATATACTGCTGTCTTAACCAAAGGTGAGTCGTGTGCACCTGTGTGCGCAGAGAAATTAAAATCTCAATCTGAAATAGCATAAAATCTCTGGAGGTGAGAAAACTGCTTTTCAACCGCACTCCATAGGCCAGGTAGACAAGTTAATTTATACTCTGCTAATAATGTGAGATTAGCCACACCATGCAACTGAGATTTTAACTCAAGCTTTAAGATTTTCTGCCTCCCAGTAAAGCACAGGCAGCAGGCATATGATCAGCACAGCCACATCTGCACCAGTTTCCATACGCAGGTTACCTTATTTCCAAGGAAGGAGAGAAGACTCTAATCCCTGCAATGCATCTGCTGACCTAATGCCAGGCTGACTTAACCACTCACTCCTCCTGTGCCCCCACCCCCCAGCACAGCCCTGAGCCCCCCACGCAGGCACTTGGCTCGTCGTCTTGGGGAGTAGGAGCAGCCCACAGGTGACCTGCCGAGACTCCCATCTGGGCACACTGCCACCAGCGAGCAGCTGGGAGAGCACAACCTTGTTGTGCCAAGAGATGTCTCTCTTGCTCTGCGCTGAGAACGGGCTGCTCTCGGGACGCTGGTGCGGCAGACGCTGGGCTTGGGGAGCTGCTCTGGCTGCCCTGCAGGTCTCCATGCCAATTCCTGCCTGCACATCTCACTGCTAGACCTCTCTTCAGCTCACATCTCTCTTCACCCCAGCTGCACGCACAATGAGCTTTAAGGACATGAAATAGTTATTGGCACACGTCTAGAGCAGTTTCACTGGGACTCCACCGCTAAAATGCCTAACTCCAGAAGGATGCTAGGAGGCTCACTCCTTCAGAGCGTTTCAAACAGTATCCTGCTGGTAAGCTTGCAAAAGAAGGCAGTTTTAAATGCAGATTAGTTCAATGTGCTGCAATGTAAAACATCCATACTTCTCCTCCTCTCTCAGAAAGCAGACAGCTTCCCATTTAATTATTCATGGTTTTTAAAATGTCTCCAATAGGTAAACACATGTATTTTCCTCAGATGCTGTTATCAGCACATACTGAGCACATCAAACATCCTGACATTTCACTGATCTTATTCATTCACTTAAAATATAAGGAAATCTGATCATAAACTCTTATTGCTCTTCCCTCCATGGATTTATACATTTAGCTCTGCAAGTAGCTTCTTAAATTTCAACAGAAATCTTTTACTTCTATGGTCATTTAGAGGTAGAACCAAGTCATGCGTTTGTTCTTTGTGCAATTAAAAAAGATCAGTTCACCATTTAATTTCTTCTCTCACATTTACAGGTTTCGTTCTGGCTTCAAATTAGCCTTCCGGTGGTGTCCATGCATAAAAGCAACTGAGAAAGACAAACTTAAACTTACGTCCCCATCTATTTACCAGACAACCCACAGGAAGTCCAGAACAAGAAGTTTCAACACAGAAACTCAATTGAATGAGAAAGAGAAGACATCGTTTACCCTCACCCAGCTAACGCTTTGATTTTCTCCTCACGGTTCTGGCTCTATCCTAATACACCATTCCAAGGCAGCAGATTTGCGGAAGCCTGAGGCAGGTCTCTTTTTCTGGAGCAACTGTTTCCTAAGGGACTTTTTCAGATGCCATCAGCATTGAAAGCAGTCTGCTGATAATACTTCTATCCATGTAGGTCCAAATATTACCTAGCTATGGCTGTAAGTTCAGCCCTCCCTTACACCAACAACTGGCATACAGACCACAGAGATTTTGCCACGAGGTCAAAAAAAGCAGTGAAACTTGACCTGAGGCAGTGCCAATCAGTAGAATATCAATTACTCTCTTCCAGATGATGATCTCCTGCTCTCTGTTCCATCAGTACACTTAAATCTGGAAAAGAGATGATGGAGTAGAAAGGCTGGAGCACATTTGGCCCAATCTGGATGGACTCTTGGGGCTGAGTGGGCAGCTAAGTCCCATGGCTCAGCAAAGCCAAGGCAGACAAGACTGTGGAGCAAAGCTTGTTTACAACAAAGGCAAATAATAACACATCCAGACTGAAAGACACGTCCTGAAAATTTTCTGAATTCTGGGATTTTCATGCCTGCAATTTCACCAGCGCCATCTCTCATGAGTTAAAATTGAGAAACAGTTCCTTCAGATGTCATAATTGCATGGATTTCTATAACCTTGTACCAAAATACAGTGCTATTTTCCTATTAAACTGTGCCCAACTGATTCCTCCAACTCCACATAGTTAATTGTAGTGCCTAATTTGGAGAATGAGGCTCTCTGAGCAGTCAGTAGCCAGGTGTGGGATGCTCACTGGCTTGGTCAGGGCTCATGGATCCAATCTGAATCCACCTCCTTTACCTCCTCTTAGTCCTAACCACAGTCTGACCCATCGCTGCCTTTTCCCAGATAGTCCCTTCATCTTCCCTTTCCAGACTTAGCCCATCTTTATCATCTCTGCTCTTCTTGTCTCAGATATGAAAATAAAGGCTGACATATGTCATCTTCAAAGCCCGAGGCATTATGTGCAGGCATGCAAAACTGGAGAAACTGAAATATAAACATTATACAGCATTTAATATTGGTGTGATCACCTTCACTTTTCACGACAGGTTTGTACATAATATCACAGAGTCATACCTTAGCATACAAAAAGCTCCGACAATGTCGACAAGATCGAGTTATTTGAAACACTCCCCTTTGCTCTGTGAAAGCAAAACTACAAAGTGTTGCCAGGCTTAAATTCTGCAGTAAATTCAGATAAAAGATTCATGGCTTGAACTGAAAGAGTACTCAGGGATATGATTTTCCCAAGTCTGTTTCAATGCAGGAACCAGCAGATATGTCTTCCTTCTTCACTCAATCCTCTTCACCTCGCTGGCTGCTGTGGAGAACAATTACGTTACACAGAAGCCCAACAGACTTGCCTCACTAATGAGACAACAGAGGGTTGTATGCCCTTCTTAAAAAATTCACTATTTGAAATCATTCCAGCAGGAGGTTTCTAGTCTGGATGTTATTTGTCCAGCCCCCTTAACTGGCCAGCCTCCCCTTCCCAAGACTGCGCCACTGGGGTGCATGCAGGGCAAAGGAGAGCAGTAAGAGGCATTTACAGACAGCCATCACCAAGACTTTCTTCTGAAGGGATTCAAAACACTCTGCAAGGCACACACCTCTGAGATCAGACAAGAGGTTGCACAGACCCTTGCTCTGAGGAACTGAAGGACACCTACATGCAGAATTCACTATTTCATATATATAACCTGTACCTCCCCCACACCCAGCCAACATGATCATAAGGCCTTTAAACTCTTTTAAATCCTGCAACTTTCTAATGCAGATCTTTTTTGGACTAAACAGGCCTAGCTTGACCATCCCATCTTCTCCTCCATCCTCCGTCACACCCTAACAGTCAGCCAGAGTCTATTTCAGATGCCCAAGCATCATGCATGTGCTGGCAGCGTCTCCCATGTGCAGCCCCTGACAGGCACCGATGTTTTCCAACAGCTCACGGCATCACTCTCTCTTGTTTGGGTGCAGAAAGCAGTGGCCAATTTCCTCAGGTTTCAAGCAAAACTCCCTGTGCGCTGAAGGACTCCCACTGCAGATCCTGAGAAGCAACAGTTAAGAAGGCAGAGATGCTCTGAGCCCTTGTTAGATACTGGAAGAAAAGGCCTGCTAAGGCAGGCTAAACCATTTCCTGTGATATATGAGGTAACAGGAACACCATGCTCCATAGTAAATACATGCAATTCTTCTCATAAATAGAAACATGATTAAATACCACGCAGCAGTAAAACACCTCCACGTCAGGAATAAATCCCTCCTCTGCACAGTTACTTGTGCTCTAAGCAGCAACAGAGTCCCTGCAGTCAGTAAAGAAAAAGCATTTGAAGAATCTCATTTTTTATGGCAAAGGAATGAACAAAAAGCACAGAACGGGGTTCAGAAGTTCAGAAACACTTTATTTTGCCTTCTGCCATTTTCTTAAGAAAACAAAACAAAACAAAGTCTGCTTGTTTTAAAATCCATTCAAAAGGCTTCTGAGAGAACCCCCAGGAGTAAGGGGCAGGTGACATTACAACAGTGGTATGCAAATGGTCTTTTCCCCAGGAAATATAAGATTTTTGTGTTCATATTGCAGTAATTACAGCTTAACAATTAAGAGGACTATGATTTTATTCACCAGGCCTAAAAGCTTTAAGTAAGACAACTCAGTCATTGCTTGGATAACATTGGAGACATTTCTTCGGACAGTTATAGTTTGTGATTCACTTGGAAAAGTTTCCTAGGGGTAGGAAGTAATCTAGAGATGGAAATCCCACCAGGTCTCCCTTTGGAAAAAAACTGTCATGTCTTATTGAGCACATCACCTATGGTCCACAGTAGGAAAAGTTGCACTGTTAGAAACACAAACTCACTCCCTATTTGTTATGAGCTGGATCCAATAAACAAAACGACCTATGCCAGCATCTCCAAAATTCACAGTCACCCTGAGACCAAGTTTAACTTCCACTTCTCATTCATCCTCAATCCTGCACTGGGCCTAGCCCTCAGATGCTGGAGACCTCCAAATCCAGGTCCCAAAGCATGGCTCACACCACCCCTACAGCACTGCCGATGGCAGGCATAACATTTGCAAATCTTCAAGCAATTAAAATGCAATGTGTCCCCTGGGCCCAAAAACTTTCTCACCTTCTTCTGCCTCCTATTTGGGGTCATAGCTGCACATCAGGGGTGTCAGAGACTATTCAAGCTGTAACGTAAAATGGGTTATTGGAGAAGCACAACTTCAGTGTATGCAAAAGGGGCTTTCATATACAACTCCAACACAGGATGTGCAAACCAGCAGTGTATGAGCACCTGACACTGCGATTCTGCAAACGTTAACCCTGAACACACAGGGAGGTTGCGGACTCTGACGTTCATCAAACTTGTGCGGGGACACAGCAACTGTAACTGTGTATCCGGTAAAGCCTAATATAATCACATTGGCTTTGATACAGTGGGCTGAGGTTTTCTTGCACTGCAGATCCCCCTGCATGAGACAGGGCGTGAGACTGCACCCGGACAAGCTACATACACCCTGAGATTTGGGCGTTGTTAGCTCTGTGCCTCTGCTGAACTACGTTAGGAAACAGGAGCCATGGGGGCCTGGGTAAAATCCACCCTGTTTGAATCTGACCCCGAATGCCCGGGAGTAAAAACACACACACAAAACACAGGCACCACTGGGATTAGGTTGCAGCTCTCCCTACACAATAGCTCTTCCCAAAGCACTAAGCCACCAGCCAACAGCACCTCTTCCAGAAAGAACCACTAAACACCAGTTAACGCACATCAAAAAAGTTTAATATTTTCACAAGTATCACGTAACACTAGTATCGGAGCTACTAGTGTGCAAAGTAAAAAGACTCTCTACCTTTGCAAAACCAGTTAGGCATGCAATTTTTCCGGTAGACACACACTTAAAGCTGCAATGACTGTTTGTGACTCACATGTTACTTTACAACATTCACTCACAGTGCACCATAATGCGTATTGAAATGTTATCGATAGGTAGGGCAATCCAAATCTTAGGGGAGTGGAACGAGGACAGAGAGGTGTAGCCTGCAAATTTCCATCGACTTTCTGCAGGAAAAGGCAGCAGGGAAAAACATGCAGACATCTCAAATTCATTTTTGGTAGAAAAACAGGAATTAAGGACTACTGTGTGGTCTCCCTTTTTGCAGAAAGTGGCATGACTTGCAAATGTTTTTCAACATTTGCGTTCCTAACTGCTTCTCAATTTAAGTAACGCAACTGGTATGCAAATATAATAATGGCATCAACTTGACAGAGGACAGGATACACCAAGTGTGTATGATCTTTGTTGCCGCTTTAGTCCTTGGAATAAGCCGGGTCTGATTTTGGCTCTGTGGTTTGTTTAGTTTATGCACCCAGGTCCTCAAAAGCAAGATCAAAATCAAACCCTCACATTCTTTTCTGATCACTAACTCCAGCAAAGTGTTTGTGTTTTGAGTGGCTGCTTAACAGTATTAAAGATTAAAGCTTTGTGTGGAAGCAAATACCCATTTAAGGCAAGAGACGGAAGTATACACATCTGAGTGACATTGTCTAGCTGCAGAGTCGGTAGAAGGGCTGCTGCAGTGCCCTGGTCTAGACTAACAAGAGATAGAAAATATTTTTAATAAGGACTCTTAAACAGAAGAATACAGCACAACCCACCTAGGGACCATAAATCTACTGATTTCCTGGGTCTGGAGATTTGGATTACCGCAATCACCAACCACTTTGTTTTACTCTTTACGGATTCCTTGCCAAAACGTGACAGATTTCGCCCAGTAACACAACACTACTCACAAAAGCAATGGGAAATACCAGTGGAACCAGATCTGTGGGACAAGGGCGTTTACTTTTACCATGACAAAACAGGCATCAAGGAAGCAAGTCGCATTGTCAAGTCCCACTATAGAATTACGTGCGTGCACAGTGCTGACACACCATAATGTTTT